CTGAAGAATCCCATTGGAAATGGGAATTCAATCAGAAGAGTCCAGTGGGATTCAAAGATTGAATTCCCGTCCAAGGAGGAATTGGGATTGATCAGGAACTCCTGATCAATCCCTATAAAAGGGACTCTGGAACAGAATGCAAGACAGACAGAAAACAGTAAGCAAAGCTACTGATTTGAGAGAAAAGGAGGCGTATAGGAAGCTAGGAAAAGTTTAGGAGTGTTCTGGGAGTGAGAAAAAATTTTTAGAGATTTTTTGGCGAAAATTTTTTCTGGAAATTTCTGGGAAATTTCCAGAATCCGACGAAAATTCCGGCGAATTTTGAATTTTCCGGCAACAATTCCGGCGAACATTGAAGTTTCCGGCGACCAGCCCAGTTTCCAGCGAAGAATCCCAGAAACCGGCGATCTTCCGGCCAACTTCCGGCGAAATTTCCAGATTTCGGCCAAAATTTCCAGAATCTGGCACCGGTGTTCTTCAGTTTCTAGAGAGAAGGGAGAGAAAAAGGAAGAAGAGAGAGAGAGGGGGAGGAGCGTTCTGCCGAAAAACGGAGGAAGGTGCCTTTTATACCCTCCCAAAACGACGTCGTTTTGGCCTTAAGTAACCCAGAGAATCCGCGCGTTTTGCCGAACCCGACCCGACCCGGGAGTCGACCCGCTTTCTGACCCGCGCGTGCCAGCCCCCCTCCGAGCCGAGCCGAGCCCAGCCAAGCCGCCAAGCCGCTCCCCCGAGCCGTTTTCTCTTCCTTGAGCCGAGCCGAGCCGCGATCCGAGCCGCTCCAGGTTTTTTTTTTTTTTATTTCTTTGTTTATTTGTTTATTTTATTTGTTTATTTTTTATTTATTAGATTAGGTTTATGTAATATTCTTTTTATTTATTTTTTATTTTCTTTAAATAAAAATAAAAAAATTCTAAAAAAATATATTTTTAGGGAAAAGTTGAAAGTATCAATTTTCCTTAAAAGAAAAATAAATTTCCAAAATAAAATATTTTTAGGGAAAAGTTGAAAGTATCAATTTTCCTTAGAAATAAAAAAATTTCCAAAAAATATTTTTAGGAAAAGGTTGAAAGTATCAATTTCCTTTAGAAATAAATTTCCAAAAAAAATATTTTTAGGGAAAAGGTTGATAAGTATCAATTTTCCTTAAAAGAAAAATAAATTTCCAAAAAAAGTATTTTTGGGAAAAAGTTGAAAGTATCAATTTTCCTTAGAAATAAAATTTCAAAAAAAAGGGTTTTTGAGGAAAGTTGAAGTATCTTTTCTTTGAAATGAAATTTCCAAATTTTTGGGAAAGTTGAAAGTATCAACTATTTCCCTAATTTAAAAAAATTTTTCCCCTTTATCTTAATTTTATTTTTTTTTCTTAAATAATGACGAGAGCCTCTGTAAGTGAAACATTAGTTTCTTGATACTTGAGGTGAGGGAATTTTATTTTCTGCTAAGTAAGGTCAATTGAGAATAATTTAACATAAAATACTTGTAAAATTTTAAGGCTTTTGGATAACACAAATTCAAGCTGGTACCATCTTTTGATGGGCGTTGTGAGGGTGCTATAACCTTCCTCACACGTAACCGAACTCCCGAACCCTGTTCTGGTTAGCAGACCTGAACCTATTCTTCTAGGGACCCTTAAACTTAGGTGTTCCCTAAAAGGACAAATTCTTTAGGTGGCCAATCGCACCTAGACAAAAAAGATTGGTGGCGACTCCCTAAAAGTCAATGTCTAGCGATAGATACCCGGATCTAGACGTTACGACACTATATACAGAGTTAGGAGATTTTAACCACTAAAGGTTCTCAAATTATTCCTTACATCATTGTCCATCACAGACTAGTAAGGCAGTCCAATCTTCACCCATCACAGGCTACCAACGAAAAAGATTCAATTTGAGTGGGAGTATTTTACTAGCCATTGTGAAGATTATTATCTCACGAGAGTGTAGGTACTTTACTCCCTCCTAATAGGGACAGAGCCCGGGTATAGAGCTCATGTAATGCAAATGCATATGATAGTGTGTGCAAAGGAACATATGGTTATCGACCCCATAAACCAGACAAAAACAAGAGAAAAACGTTAGTAAACAAATAACTTAAAACCATTAGTTCAAAGGATAAAATAAATTCAAAAATTATGGCTTGACTCTCTAGCGTCTCCAGTGGAGTCACCAAACTGTTATAACATATATATTCAAAAATCTATAGCTAAATTTAACAAATGAATGGAGTCACCACCAATCTTTTATTAGGTGTGATTGGTCACCTAGGGAATCTATCCTTTTAAGGAACTCTTAAACTTGACTAAGGGTTCCTAAAAGAATAGGTTCAGGTCTACTAACTAAAATAGGGTTTGAGAGTTCGGTTACATGTGGGGAAGGTTATAGCACCCCCACATGTCCATCCAAAGGATGGTACTATATTATTTCGAATTTATCCTTAGGTTTAGAATCTAATGGCTTCAAATTTTATGTTAAATATTAAAAATAATTTTTAAGATTCTCCATCAATCTGGTAGTACTCTCAAAAAAATTCTTCATCACCTCAAGAGTATTCAAAATCTCATTTGATTTCTTGAAGAGGCTCCGTCGTCGAAAAAAATTTATTTATTATTTTTTATTATTACCATTTTTATTGAAAATAAATTTAATTATCCACCATTTGGGCCAAATTAAAAATATTTTCTCTTTTGAATTTCTAAAATTTTCATCATCTGGGTCTATTTAGAAATTCCCTTTTTTCTCTTTTCTTCCTTGAAAAGAAAATAATATGACAATTATTTTTATTGAAATTTCATCTAAATTATTCCACCATTTGGGTCAAATTTAGAGAAGATTTTTCACTTAGAGATTTCTTAAAAATTTACCATTTGAAATTTCTAAGAATCTTATCTTTAGATAATTATCAAATATTTCCAATCCAATTTTTTATTTGAAAAAGAAGACAATTACTTGTATTGAAATTTCATTTAAATCATTCCACCATTTAGGCCAAATTTGGAGGAAATTTCTCACCTAGAGATTTCTTAAGAATTTACCATTTGAAATTTCTAAGAATCTCATCCATGGGTAATTTGTATTTAATTCCAAAAAGTTTTATATTTTTATGCTTTTTATGTTTTTAATTTTTCCTTTTTGGTTTGAAAATAAATATTAATTATTGTTATTGAAATTTTATCTATATTATTCCACCATTTAGGATAAATTTAGACAATTTCTCACCTAGAAATTTTATAAAAATTTACCATTTGAAATTTTTATAAATTCCCTCATTGGATAATAAATATTTATTCCTAAAATTTTTATTTTTTCTTATTTTATTAAATCATGTAAAAAATACTCCTAAAATAAATAAACACATAAATAAAAAAATTAAAATAAAAACAAATAAAAATACCAAAAAATGGAAACAGCTCGACTTACGGCTAAGATCGACTCAGTTTGAGATAGAAAAAGTGGCTCGAAGGCGCGGCTCAAAGAATGCGGCTCGGCTCGACTCAGTTGGAATGGTTTGTTGGAACTTGGGTTAGTCAAATGGATTGCGATCGGGTCGAGTTGACCCAAACAGAAACACGCGAATCTTGGGTATCTACTAACGCTAAAACGGTGCCATTTTACCCTGGTATAAAAGCATAAGTCCGGTCCTTTCCTTCAGACTTCTCCTCTTCCCTCTCTCTCTTCTCCCCTTTTCTCTCCCCTCTCTCTAGAACAGAACCCAGAATCCGATTAAATTTCCATCAAATTCTGAAAAATCACGTCGAATCTGGAAAACACGCCGAAAATTTCAAGTTTCACCGAAAATTTCATCGAAATCTGGATTTTTCCAGAAAATTTCCAAAAATAAAAAATCATCCAAAAACCTGAAAAAATTCCCAAAAACCCTAAAAATTGCTCCTAATTCTCCAGAACCTTTTTCTTTTGCTTCTGTTTTCTCCCTATTTCTTTCTAATCCGTCCCTTTTTATTCATATTTGAGCCTCTATTTATAGGCATTGATCAGAAATAATTTCTGACAAAATTCCTACTCCCTTTTTGACTGGGATTCAATCCTTGAATCCTAGTCCAACTCTACCAGCCCTTATTCTAAAAGGAAACAAAAATTAAAGCTTAATTTTCGGATCAAGACACCAAAATAAAAATAAAATCAAAATAAAAAATCAAAATGACGAAAATAATAAAATAATTACAAAATTAAAAATAAGATAATAATAATAATAATAATGATAAAAAAATTAAAAATTAAAAATTAAAAATTAAAACTAAAATTGGGTTAAAGTTGAACTAAGCCCAATGGGCTTAAACCCTGTTGAATCAAACTCAATGGACTCGGGGCCCGAACAAATTAGAGTGTCTACAATTATTATTATTATTATTATTATTATTATTATTATTATTATTATTAATAAATTTTAAGTGAGGCAAATAGCTTTTAAACAATAATTAATTAAAATAGCTAAAGAAGGAGTAATCAATTTTGCAAGACAGAGAATATATTTATATTATATATATGTATATATATATATCAAAAGGAACGATATAATTAGCTAAAAAGAAGATGAAAAATATTGAGAAGCGTGAGACTTGGCCACAGCAAGAAGATCAACTCCTTTTGAGCTCTTCCAAAGGGCAAGTTGAAGAGTTATATGAAGGCTATCACAAGCTAAAGTGGTTGTACCAAAACATAACAAAAAACTATGAATGGCTAAAATGGGGCACCAAAATATACTATACGTCATGCATGGCTGTCATTAATTTCAGGATTCCATTGTCTCCTTTTCCTTTCTGAATATTTATTATTACATAAATTCTTTTCAAAATTATTATATGGTATTAGTAGTATTTTTTTTAAGTACAATTTTTAAAAAGCTTTTTATATTTTTCAATGAAATATGTTTGAAATTTATTATAATTTTTTATTTTAAACAAAAAAAATTCAAGGAAAGAAATGATATAACAACTTCACATTAAAAAAATGTGAGCCCACAACAAGACAAAAGGCCCTCTCTCCCTTGGAGTCCCGTGGCTTAAAAAGCATTCCTTCCCACATCTACTATTCCCATCTTCTTCATGGAAACTGCTCCCCAATGCAGCAAACAAACCAAGAATGATTCCTTTGATAATACTGAGGATGAAACCCTTTTGTCAGGCCTCCCTGATGATCTAGCTCAACTCTGTCTCTCTTCGGTATCTCCTTCCCTTCTTTTCTCTGTTTGCCATGCATGGCGTCGCCTCCTTTACTCTCCTTCTTTCCCTCCCTTCTTTTCCCTCTGTGCTCTCCTTTCTCCTTTGCAAATTCCCACTCTTGGGGAAGGTAGTCCTCAAAACTCAATTGAATTCTTCTCCTTTGATCCATTATCATCTGCTTGGAAACCCCTTCCTAGTCCTCCACAAAACCCTCCTCTTCATCTCCTCCATCGCCACCCTTCTTTTCTATCCCGAAACCTTCCAATACAATCCTTGACAGTCTCCAACCATTTAGTCCTCATAGCTGCTACAACTCACCACCTTTTCCCCGCACTTTCCAGCCCTTTAGTCTTCCATCCAGAGTCTAACCACTGGTTTTACGGCCCCCAAGTCTCCACCCCACGCCGGTGGTGTGCTACAGGCTCTTCCCAAGGAGTGGTCTATATGGCAAGCGGCATTGGCTCCCATTACAACAGAGATGTAGCAAGGTCAATGGAACAGTGGGACTTAAATAAGAAGAGTGAAAATTGGGGTTGGGAAAACAAGGCACAGCTTAAAGATGGAAGGTTTAGCAGAGAAGCAGTGGAAGCAGTTGGATATAGAGGGAAACTTTGCATGGTTAATGTCAAAGGCAATGCATTAAAAGAAGGTGCAGTTTACAATGTCGAATATGACAAGTGGGAAGACATGCCTAGGGGAATGGTTGCTGGCTGGAATGGGCCAGCAGCAACAATGGATGAAGATGTGATTTATGCGATTGATGAAGTGAAAGGTAGTTTAAGCAAATATGATGGTGAAAAGGATTGTTGGGTGAAGTTGATTGAGTTGGAACAGCTCAAACATGCAGAGCAGATAGCAGCAGGGAGAGGGAAAATTTGTGCAGTTTCAGCAAAGGGGAAAAGGATTATAGTGCTCGATGTTGGGGAAAGGCCTGCCAGGTTTTGGGAGGTGGTGCCACCTCGTGGGTTGAAAGTGGTTGCTGTGCATGTTTTGCCTAGGATGAGTAGACAAGAGTAATTGATGTTCATTAAGCCCCATTGAGAATTGTGTTTGTTTGTTTGTTTTTTTTTTAATTGCATTTTATGGTATATATGTGCTTAAACATATTATTGAAACAAAACATCATCAAACATATTAAGTCACCTATTATATATGGAATTGTTTATGGTTCATATTTTTTTATGGGGTGAGGATAATGGGTTTGAGTTTTCACCTTACATGTTTTTTTTTAAATCTTTTCAATCACTAAATTAAAAAGTTGAAGACGTTTATTGTTTATTTCTTGACATGCCCTATTTGAATAAAATTAATTAAATTTAGTACAAAGTGGTCTAAAGGATTTGCACGGCTCATTTAATAGCCTAACCCTGGATTATCTCCCATTACAGTGGTAGTGTCGTGACATATGCAGCTCTCCTACCCAAATCAGTGCATAAAACAATCATATATTCATCTCAAAATTTTTATTTTCCTATGATTTTGCTTGCTTTTCTAGCATAATTCATGATTATGCATGCAAATTATGAATGCCATATCCTAGTTTCTAATTTTTCTTTTTGTTTTGCTGTACAATAATTTTTTAATAAATGAAGTTACAAATAATAAGAAAAAAGTTTATAAATATTAAGATTTAAATTTTAGATTCATCAAATATCAATTTTAAAAAATAAATATATAAATTAATCGAATTAAATTCTTGATAAAAAAATTTTCAAGTACAAGAAATAAACCAGAAAGTTCATGGATTTGGTAAACTTTGTCGTGTGCATTGGATTTTCTTCTTGTGTACTTTGTCAAAACCATTTTAATTTTAATAAATAAAGTGGAATTAAGAAGCTAACGAAAACAGTTTAAGGACTCAGCTCGAAGCACCTTGTTTTGATGACCTTTAACTTTTTGACCACTTCATATTTGTATTTAATATACAACTTCAGTAAAGGAACAGTTAAATATATATTATCTTAGTTAGTTTCTTTCAAGTTTTTTATGAAAATTTCTTTTATTATTAGAAAAGAAAGAATAAAAAAAAAAACAATTTTACCTGATATTTTGTCCTCTTCATAAATTTCATTCTTCTAACTCTACCAAACCCACTAATGTATTTAAGTCATACTAATTTTGAACCGCATTTAGTTGCCCACTTTAACTAAGAAAAATTAGAAATTTTGATATTCTTAAGAACTTGAGAGTTACCTCATTTAATTCATACATTTATTCAAATGATATCAATCAAATTTAAAATTTTAATTTTAATACTTAAATTTTTTTTAATCTTTGAATTACGGTCTCATAAACTAAATGAATAAACAAACAAATCAACACAAAGTAAAAAAAATCGACACATAATGAAATGGAATTTAGAATTTAAATATTTCAGGACCCCTTCCTAATTAACATTAAGGCATGAGGCATGTCCTATGATAAAAAGGAAACCCTAATATTATACATGGAATGGAGTTTACTATTATTTCTTCCTCCCACCCCTTGTATCTAAAGAATCGAGGAAAGCCAAAAGCACGAATGGAAAAGGGTTGACACCCTTAGATCCAAAGAGAAAGAAAAAAATTGGTCAATATAGAAAAGCAATAGATAAGGGGGGTCACATGAAAAGCTAGAAATTAAAGATTGAAAGACAAATAGTACAAAAAGGCATCGATCCTCACTTTCCTGTGAACTACTGAATGCTCAACGATACCCACCTTTCCATAGTTATTATTGTCATCAAAACAACAATAACGACTAAAAAAAAGTTGCATTGAAATATTGCCTTTGTTACTTTTCCCTGCTCCATATGATTCATATTTTCACACATCAAATTTTAGGTTTTTTTTATTACATCTATTAATTGATGCTGACATATTTTTCAATTGAAGATCACATCACATGTAAGAAATCCAGGATCTCTAATTTTATTCTTGGTTGGCATTTACTACTTTGCCAGGATATCATCGTCGATCTTTTAATGATTCCAAAAAGCTTACTTTAAAATCTTGGATTTTTTGAAGAATAAAGCTTGAATATGAATATATATGATTTATATTGGATATATATATATATATATATATTATACACTATAAATTAACTAAATGCTGCCACCTCATTAATGAAAAGCTTTAAAAATTTAAAAGCCCTCATAGATAAATATCTTTAAATTTATTCTTGAACATTGTTGGAAAAACTAATTTATTTTTCTACTTTTTATAAAAACTTAATCATAACTTAAAATTTTTAAATTAATTTGATAAATCTATTTATGAATTTTGATGAACTGTTTAAATTTAAAAGTTTAAACTTTGTAAAAGTGAATATTACCAATAAACAAAAATAATATTCAAAGTCATAATTACAACTAAAAATATTAGGCAAAGAAAATTTTCACTTCAACAACAGTTTTTCATAACTGTCGGTAGCTCATCCCTTTGCCGTGGTTCTGCGACTGGAAAGGCCAAGATTTGGGAGGAAAAATCCGCCCAACAAGGTTACAGGTTTAAAACTTCAGACAATGGCAGAAGTGGCTCAAAAGCTTGAGCAGTAAGAGGAAGTTATGTGTAATGTTCAAAAATAAAATTTAAAGATATTTATCTTTGAGAGCTTCTAAAGTTTTAAAATTTTTATTAATAAGGTGGCAGTATTTAATTGATTGATAATGTATAAAATATATACGTTGTTAGTATATTAAATATAAACTCATATATATATATATAAGTATAGAAATATTTACCTTTCATATGAAGCAAAAGTTAGAGCTGAAAAAATGCCAATTTCCTAGGACCAAACAATTTTTTCTACAAAATCATTTGCATTCTTCGAAGTTGTAGAGGTTTTTGGGTCAATTTTAGTAAAACTTACCTTTAAATATTAAATTTTGATTCGGATTTAATCCACTTAGGCTTGTACATTAGACATGGTTATATTTAAAAATTTTTAAATTATCAAAAAAAATTTATATTATAAACAATTAAAAATGTATTTTAGAATTGAAAATAAATGTGCTAGATTAAATAAAGTAGTAGTTGAACTTGAAAATTCTTATTCAAGATCCAAATCAATTTAAGTCAAACTTACATACTGAACCACCAGGTGCATGGACAAAATTTAAATATAGGTTAACTAGATATAAGTTCGTGCAACGCACGGGTATTTAATTATGTATTTAAAAAATCAATTATAATAAATTAATAAATTTTATTACCTACATATATATTAATGTTATTGTGAAATAAATAATAAAAAAATAAAAATTGAAGATCAATATGTAACTATAATAAAATTTAATGAAACATGCTTTTGGATCATATCCCATCCAATAATGTTATATAACAAAAGCTAAGAATTTCTTTAATTCCAAATAATTGAAATTTATTCCTTTGAAAATCAATTTTGTTTACAAACCTTTTTTACCGGATATTATTCTATAAAATGTTTATTTTTTAAAGGAAATGTCGTTATACTTTATAGCTAGATAAATTTAAAAAATTCAAACGAATAAATAAAATAGCTAAAAATCATAAAGTTAATTTTTTAATTTATTTTGAATGAAAAAAAATAACCAAATAATAAAGGACTATTATGAAATCTCTAAAAATATATATTTTAAAATGATATATATTTAAATTATTAAAAATTTATTTTATAATATCACTACATTTAAAATTTTTAGATTTAAAAAGATATATATTATATTATTAGAAAACTTATTTTAAAAGATAATATATCACTAGATTTAAAATTTTAAATTAAAAAAGATATATATTTAGATTATTTGGAAATGCATTTTAAAAAATAATAAATTTAAATTAAATTTTGTTACTAGCAATTTAAAAATAATTGAATTGATCTTTCAGTTAAAATTAAAAGTTTTAGATAATTAAATCATTTTTAAATATATATTTTTTGACAAATAACTTAAAATTAGGAAATGATTTATATGTCATTATAAAGAGAAATTTTAGAGATTTTCATATATGTTGAAAAAAGAAATTATCCACCTAATTGTCCACGTAAGTAATCTTATCAGGTTTTTATATATGTTGTAATATAAAATTAAATATTATTTCTCAAATTATAGAAAAGTGATTGTAATATTATGTTTTCTATTTAACCTTGCAATCTCTTTTCTTTTTTTTCTTTTTAAAAGAACATTGACTATTTCTCAAATTTCATTCTAGTATAGAAATTGTGTTTATTACAAATAAAATTAAGTTTCCAATTGAAGCCTCGTTTATTTTTTGACATAATTATAGTTAACTGTTGTAATTTCTTCAAACCTCGTCAAGTTATAATTTCATAAAATTTGTCGGTTTATTAATCTAGTAAAATATTTACTTAACAATTTAATTATCATATTCAAATCATTCAAATTATATTTTATATCCTCAATCACATCAAATCAATTTATTATAATTGGTTTGCTTATGCGGATAAAATTACCTATTTTAAGTTTCGATGAAAATGGATAAAATATCATAATATCCCTGATAATTAGTCAAAATTGGTTAATATTACTTGAAATTGGTCAAATTTTTTTTTTAAATCTTTATGTTTAGAAAGGGAATCTTTGAAAATTTTGAGTTTTGAGCTAAACTAATAAAAATAGCTCTTGATCAAATTCAGGTCAACCTTTAAAATTAATGATTAAATAATATTATTAAAGTTTAAGATATTTTATATTAAGGCTTATGATTAAATAGGATTAAATCATCATATTCAAATCATTCAAATTATATTTTATATCCTCAATCACATCAAATCAATTTATGATAATTGGTTTGCTTATGCCGGTAAAATTACCTATTTTGAGTTTTGATGAAAACGGATAAAATATCATAATACCCTTGATAATTAGTCAAAATCGGTTAAAATTACTTGAAATTGGTCAATTTTTTTTCAAAATCCTTATGTTTAGAAAGGGAATCCTTGAAAAATTTGAGTTTTAAGCTAAAATAACCAAAATAGCCTTTGGTCAACTTAGGTCAATTCTTGAAATTCATGATTAAATAGGATTATTAAGGCTTAAG